TCCGGGCGCACACCTGGTAAGCTCGGCGCGGTTCCTTTCTCGCGGACGTGGGTGCCGCCGAGCCCCTCCCCCGCGCGGGTAGGGAGCGACCTGGCGCAGGGCGGGGGCCGGGCTACAGGCACCCGGGAGGGCAGGTGGCTGGCAGGTGGAGGGCTGGTGCAGCCGGCGACGCGGGGAGGTCCTGTAAGTTGGGAAAGTCACCCTGCAAGGACGTGTGCGGTGTGAATCGGACATGGATTTTGACTCAGGAGCCTGGGCTACCGCGGTATTGCTCTGATGGGAGGTTCATGAAGATCGATTTTGTTTTTATTTGCAGAAAAGAGGGATTTAAATGGGCTTGTTCCATAGAAAACGAACTGAAAAATGAGAAAGAGAGATTGCAAACGCCTCTTTTGGTTCTGATCCATCTCTCTCTCTCTCTCTCTCTCTCTCTCTCTCTCTCTCTCTCTCTCATGCCAATACATGTGCACGGAAGACAGAAGGCGTGCATTTAGCAAGGGGAAGGGCTTCTCCATTTTTGAGGTCATTAGGTGTTTGGGGGCTAATAACAGCACTTGCTGGTATTTAATTTAAAGAGAGCTCAAAAGAAGGACAAGGTTGGGTGTGAGTACCACAGTAACATTTCTAAAACGACAACGCCATGACATGGTATCAGCAAAGAAAGGTTTTCAAGAACCGCGGGCCATTTTAAGGGGGTTCACCCGAAACTCTGGACCTTTGAACTGAAGTTCCTTGACTGCCAGTGGAGCTAGGAAGACGTTTTTATTCTTGGTTCCTTTATTGAACTTTGGCAGAGGGTGATGACAGAGACATAGAAAGGCGGAAGAGAAAGGAGGGAAGAATGAATGCTCTGTCTGGTGTGGGAGTAGGAGAAAGACTCTGGCAGTGAGAATGGTCCTCACTGTGTTCCTGAGTCCTGTCCTGGGCAGTCCTTGAGCTGTTCTCCAGGGAAATGTGTGACCTTGAACAAGTCCCTTAATCTTTATTCACTCAATTTTTTTTTCCACCTGCAAAACGTAGAAGTTGTTCTGCATTTTGAGCCCCTAAGGTCTCATGCAGTAGTGTCTATGATTGTATTTGAAGATTGCATTGATCAAGTTTGAAGATGTGTATACAAAGAAACCCCACTCAAACCGTCCAGATAAAGGAAGCTTCAAGGCATTCTCCTTGGGAGTATTAAAGGGACGTACAAGGTCCTGCCTGTGCTTTCTGGGTAGCACATCCCGAGAGGTCTGTGGAAGCAAATGACGGCAGTCAGAAGTCTGATTGCAGCCAAGGAACCTGGAGTTTGAGAGCTGTTCAGAGAGATTCGGATGCACAGAGCCTAAAGTCGTGTGCTGTTTTTATTAAGGCAGCAATTTTCAAATGCAGGTTAGTGGCAAGTTTTGAATTCGAAGATTTGAGAAATAATTTAGGTTTGATTCTAATATAAGGAAAATGACATCCCAGTTTAATGGTTAGGCACTCAGGAGGGCGAGAATGTCTTGAGGTAGGGCATGAGTATAAGGTAATCTGGATAAAAGGGTCAGGGAAGAAAAATGGAGTGGAAAATCCTCCCAAACAAAGGTTTTTATGCTCCAGAGATGGAACTGGCACCTGTCACGTCTTTGACACCTCTTCCACTTGTCGGAGGTAGGCACAGATATCTTCCCCCTCCTTGTAGGTTTGTTCTTAGAATTTAGGGATTTTCATCTGCCCAGAAACTGAGATGGTGCACGTGTGAAAACTCAACCCTGAACCCCACCATGCAGCATCTGGCTGAGGGGCTAGTCCACCCATCCAGTTTGCCCAGCAGCCTGTTCCTAAAGGAACTCACTGTGCCACTTGGTGGCACCAAAAAGTTGCGAAAAGAACTCTGTTCTCTATAAATACAAACTACCACCCCTCCCTCCTCCGCTCTCTTTCCTTCTCCCCTTCCCCCCGTTTCAGTAGCGGGAAGATTGCTGCACACGCCGCCCTCAGCTCGGCTATTCTGCGCGCACTGAGTGCAGGGGATGAGCTTGCGATCATCTCGGGGTTAGGGGGAGCCCAGGACTGGAAGGGCCGGCTCTACCCCGTTGATCCCGCAGCCCAACTTTATGGGGAGCTAGCTAGACCGCGTCTCGCTGCCCGCTGCGTGGCCGACAGGGGGGTAAGCTTGCTAAGTGTCTGTGTGCCCAAGTATTCCCTGGCCCAAAAGAATATAGCAGCTATTAGCTTGCTGAGTAGCTTGCAATTTGGTTTGGGGGAAAGAGACGTGGGTGGAGCGGGGGCTGCTGGAGCCAGTGAGGTTCATGTCTGCTCCATTTGCGGATGGTCTTGATTAGACCTGTTGGTGGAAAAGGCGCGAGCAAGGGGATAAAGGAGGGAAAAGCTACATGAGGCAGGGATTCTGCATGCCTTTTGATACAAGTTCCTGCTCTCTGAGGAAGTAGGAGCCCGGTTTGAAATGAAAACCTTACTCCTGCAAACCATCTGAGGGCTTAAAAATAGGCAAAGCAAACAGAGGAGGGAAAGAAAGGAAGATTTTTCCCAATAAATGTGGTCACAGCCTCGCCGCTTGCTGCAGGATGAGGGGGACAGCGGGTGGTGCTGAAAGCACAGCTCTTTACTCAAGCCAGAGAGCCTCTGAGCAGTAGTCCGAGCTCTCCTACTCTTCCTTCTTCCACAGATGCATCTCTCCCTTCCCTTCAGACACAAAGCCCGCTGGCTACCCCAGGGCAGCAACACGAGCAGCATGCAAAGGACGGAGCTCACAGTGCAGAGACTAGGAGATGAGAACACAGGGCAGGCCCCGTAGTACAAAGGCTTGCCGGTCTGTACTCAGGACCTCTGAGAGGGAAGTGATAGGTTCACCTGTAGGGACCTTCCACCTGGCGCCATGATTTCCATCTGCCCACATTTCCCCACAGCACAGGTATCGTGGGGAAGGGAATGTGAAGACAGGATGACATGTGCTTGTGCTTATTTAGGAACAGTTTAGCTCTAGCTGCAGCTGAGCATGAGTAGCCAGGCAGATTCCCCCTCAGTTTTACTTCTGGAAAGGAAATTGATGCAAACCAGTGAGAAGGCAGCTTTTCTCTTCTCCATTCCTTGCAAGGTGTTTTATTGTTTGAACTTCCTGAGGATTAGCTAGAGAAAATCTGTATTTCTAACACTCACTGCTGTCCATGTGGGAAGGCTAGGGAATATTGCTCTGGGCTCGGCATCCCCTTTCTCCAATGGGGCATATTTAAAGATTTCAGTGGAAGTTTCTGAGTTATCTGATGTGTGTATGTGTGTGTGTATGAGACTTTGGGAGTGGTTAGGTATACCACCTCTTGTTAGGTGTGCTCTGTGCTATTCCTTTCATGGAGCACAGGAATTTTCTTTCATCTTACAGCTACTTCCAAATAATTGCACCTTGAAGAATAAGTTGTGGCTATTTATGTTATTTATGGATTTTGATTACCATTCTAAACGTTCATTGATTTAGAAGTTCAAAATACTGCTTTGAACTCATCAGTTTAGTACTGTGCATCACACCGAGTCTGCAGGCTTCTGTGGTGGAAAGCTTTTCAGCACACTGGACAGATCCCTCAAAGTTTCTCAGGCAAAGGAGGTGGTGAATACTTTTTAAATAACCACCTGCAGTCACTTACATTCTGCATGAAAAATTTACAGCCTAGGTATTTTAAGTGCAGAGACTAGAATTTTGTGCTATCATATGGCAATGTTTTTCCTGTGGGTTATATGCTCATAAAAATTTATGAAATGGTACATTGAGATTATTTGTCAAAGTGGGGTTGATATTTGAAAGATCTAAGTACTTAACCAGATCTTTTTGCCAGCATAGAAAATGCAGGCCTCTGCCATCAGTAAAATGTACACATTATAGACCTGAAGACAATTACCCATGGTAAAAATGAAAATTTCACTCATAGATACCGTGTGTACATGGAATAGATTGTTCAGACTTTGGGGGAACACTTGAGTAACTATGTACCATTTTCAGTTTTTCTTTGATTTTTGACATTATTATGTGTTCTAATACAACAATTTATCTCTAAGCATGTTTACTTTTATAACTAAAGTGTTTTAGTAATTCTTTTCTTCCAAACACACTGAATATTTTACAGGAGTGTTACTGTTTTGTCTTTAAAAGAATAGTCAGAATATCTTAGGTAAGAAGACAAGTAAAAGCCAATAAATAGAAGGTGATAGTGTAAGTAGAAAATATGGCAGAAATTTAATCATGAAAAATATTGCATTTATTTGTACAATGATACCAATTTGAGCCCTGCTTTTCTAACCCCATGGGATGAAGAAAAAGGTATATCTATAGCTCTTCATGTCTTTTTATGCAAATCCTTGCTTACATTGGTTAAATTTATATAAATGAAGTGTAAAAAACCTTATTAAAATAATGAACACTAAGTTTTGATATGTATTAATATATGTCATATTCTTCAGCTAACTTCCTTTCTTTGGAGTTTGGATATCTTGAAGATTTATTACTATAGAGGAGGAATATTATACAATTTGATAATATATGTTATTGTTCATATGCAGAGAAATACTACTCCTAGTCCCAAGGCATCATTTAGTTATTATTTTAGTCATAGAATGGAACTTAGAAGACATAAGACAGGCACATTCAGAGTATTTTTAGTACATATTTGTCTTGCTCAAGAAAATAAAATTTCAATTTTGATTTTAAGTATGTAACTATTTATAAATCAAATATTATCTTTTCAATATTCCTTTATTTCAGTTGGCTAAAAAGCATTTCAGTAAAATGCTGTGTTATAGATTTATTTTCTTTTCCCTTGTAGTCATTGGGAGAAGACAAAAGGGTATTTCACCTTTCCTAATCCTGAGTGAACAATACACACCTTTGGTCACCAGGCCGAAGTCTTTGTGTAGACTAATCCCTGTTCTAATAACTACTTCCTGAGCACTCTAGATCTCATGCAATCATGAGATAGAACACAAGGCATTATTTGCTTTTACTTTTTGCATTTTGAAAACTGAATTTTTTCTTCCACTGTCACAGAAAAAGAACTTGTCCTTACCCTGTTTCTATAGAGCTAAGCTAACTTGAGTGTAACAGTACCCCATAGTACCAAGTGTTTCTATCATGAGCTAATTGCACAAATCTAAATAAAGTGGGTGACTGCAATGACCAGTGTATCCAGGTTATTTATAACAATTAACATCTTCAGGCTTTTGGATATCAAATGTTTCCTGGGTTTTTATGTTACTAAATTTAATTTTTCCAACAAAACTGTAGATTGAATTTTATTTTTATTGTACAGTTTAACAACAAAAAGCAAGACTAAGAGAGATTAAATGATTTACCTAATATTGTACAGCATATAACATAACACACAGCTATTTTATATCCAGGATCATCTGATTCCAAAACCCTTACTCTTAGCTATGATACTAACCGGAAACTTGGACATATATCGTAGTTTCTAAAAATTCTACTAGTGTGAGTCACCAGAGCATTCTTCTTCCACAAGTGAGTGTTCAAACATTTGTCTTTCTCACGTGTCTAAGAATATTTAAAACTAAGCACGCAAATGTTCAGAAATAGTCAGAAATCAAAATGGTACATAGTTGCTATCAATTGTTTTTTCTTGTCAAACTTCAAAAAGTTTACAGGAAATGTTTAGATATATATAGATATATGTACTTCATGTAAATATGGTCTTATAAAGATAATAGATATAACAAAATTTATCTAATGATTAGTTTTCATGATATTTCTGACTATACACTATTGATTTTAAACCTTTGAGCATAAATATTTGAAGGCAAATGAAAAGATCATACTTACTACGGCACTAATGGGCAGTATAATAATATAATTTTCTTACATTCATTTTATTTTGTAAAGGTATAGTATGACATTATTCTAAAAATCAATTTGTCTTAATATATCAAATTATAGAGTTCTTTAGGGAGACAAGTAAAAACATTTTTGCTTCTTTTGAAATGAATCAATAAATGAAAAATTGAAACACATATACACTACTGTATAAAATTAGCTTTGTTATTATCTTGCTGAAATTATAATGAATTCTGCCTTTCATCTTAAGAGCAATCTTTGAAATTGGCAAGTACATCACAGGATACTGTCTTCACATTCATTTGTTGTAATTTGTAGATACTCAGAATTATGCTTACTCAATATGAAGAAATATCATCCTTGATGCTCACAGTTTAACTTGTGTTTCCCAAATTGATTACAACTTTGGAAATACAGAAAAAGTTAATCAAATAAAGAAGGCAAAGCTATTCCAACCTACGTTTGTTAGTATTATTCATAGTCTTTCAGAAAAAAGGCTACGTGAGACTGATGCATCTGGATGATTTGATTTTAGTTGTACTCTTTTTATGTTTTGACAATTATGTTGATTTTTTTTGTGACTTTTCAGGTGAATCAGTGGGTTTCAACCAGAACTGATTTTGACCTGCAGAGGACATTTGCAATATTTGGAGACCTATTTCGTTAATACACTAGAATGTGGTCCTGCTCATTCCGTGGTCCTTTGGGCAAAGATAATGGATACTGATAAATACCTTACAATGAACAGGACAGCAGCCCTCCACAATAAAGAACTGTCTAGCCTGAAATATTAGTAGTGCTATGGTTGAGAAATTCTGACCTAAATAATGACAGCAAGCATTCCATTTATTTGAGTTACTTGTATAGTCTCTGACTGCAATCAATGACCATTACATAAAAATTCAATGGAAAGTAGAATTTACAAAATGTTGTGCAGTCAACACATAAGGTTTAAATTACCCACTAATCTGGCCCTTTGGAAGACATTATCATCTAACTATTTTGAGTGTGGGAGTCAGAGCTAGCTGGGGTAATGTACGGTGTATTTTGTGTAATGGTAGATGTGAGACTTTAGTAAAGTATTTTATCTCTAAACCTCAATGTCTAGAGGTAGTAATATATAATAATAATCACATCTAACTTACAGTGTTGTTGTGAGTTTTATATTACATAACGCTTACACATTATTTAGTAAAAATTAGATACTGAAGTATTAGCTGAGTCGTGATCAAGTTATAGAAATATAAAACCACATTTTCAAGTATCTGATAATAGGTAATTTCCTAGTAACAATAATGTTTTACAGTCTTTAGAAA